GGCTATCCAGCAAAAGCCTCCCTGCAGGACTTGTGAGGGGTGGGTCCCACGGGATCAACAGGTCAGGGCTAGCAGTTATGGCTGCTCTCAGAGGCTCCTCTTCTCGGTGTCTCAGCAATCGCTGCAAGCACCTCCGAGAGAAAGCTACCCTCAAGTTCCGACCGATGCCAGACAGTCCCGCTTCTCCCGTATGAGTCTGGGTCCCCAGAGACTCACCCGGAACTGTAGCTCAGAGCCTGAGACTCCCTCCCGATTGAAAATGATAACCACGCCCTGAGCTGACAGCCCGTTCTGTACCTTAGTGCTTTACCTACACACTGCACCTCTCTGAGTCTTGGTATGCTTTTCTCTTTCCTTCTAGTTGTAGAATTTCCACTCAGCCAGCCTTCCTGTGGTTCTGGATGATGTCCGTTCCGTCTTTTAGTTGTATTTTTGAAGTGGTTCTTCGAGGTAGCAAACTCTGATGTTTACCTATGCCGCCATCCTGGTTTCTCCAAATAGAGTGGTTTTCTGTGTTAGGTGTCCTATAGGGCCCAGTGGCTCAGCCTCCCCAATTACCTGAGGTGGACACTCTAGGTGCACCCCTTTGTGGGCTTTGTTCTCAGTCTTGTTGTAGTTAAGCCTTGATTGTTGTAGGTATCACTGGGAGGAATTGACCTCCAGGCCAATTGACCTGTGTCTGCAGTGGGAGAACTTCTGAGCTGGAGACACCCTTCTGGGGCAAGACTTGCTTCAGTGGGGCTTTGGTGCTCACTGAGTCTGCCCCCTGAAGTGTGTCCCTTATGGATCTGAGGAGTTGTAATCTGGATGGTCCCACTCTCACCACTCTGTACACTGGCTCTTGGATCTCCAAGGAGGTGCTAATTTAGCCTCTACCTGAGGCTACCCAGCAGGAGTTTTGGAGAGTTCCTCTTTCTTTGGGCTTTGGAGATGCCCAGATGAGGCCCAGCTGTGAAGCAGTGCAAGCTGCTGTGGGGCCTTGGACCTTCTTTTGGAAGTTCTGGGTCTCTCTAATCCAGCTGCAATTTGTTAGGTAATTTTCAGCTTGCAAAGGGTCAGGCCTTTCATATGCAAATGCCTCTGCACAAAGCTTGGGTGGGGCGGGGTCTTGGGATCAACAGGGTGGAGCAATCAGGTATGGCTGCTTCCCAGTCTTACCCTAAAAGGCCCTGTGTCTCAGTGTTGTGGTAATCGCTGCAAGCACCTCTGAGAGAAAGCCGCCCTCCAGTTCTGCCTGATGCCAGACAGTCCAGTTTCTTCCCGTATGAGTCTGGGTCCCCAGAGACTCACCCGGAACGAGTTCAGAGCAGTAAGGAGCTTGAAACTCCCTCCCAATTGAAAAAGTCAACCATGCCCTCAGTTTCCAGCCCTCTCCACGTGTGCCTCGTCCTCAGCTGCCAGCCCTTTTGGCGTGCGCCTCCATACCTCTGTTCCTCACTTCCACAGAGCACCTCCTCTGAGTCTCAGTATGCTTCTCTCTTTCCTCCTAGTTGTAGAATTTACACTCAGCCAACCTTCCTGTGGTTCTGGATGATGTCCGTTTTGTCTTTGAGTTGTATTCTTGAATTTGTTGTGGGAGGCAGCTATTTCCGGTGTTTACCTATGCCGCCATCTTGATTTCTCTCTCTCCATCTGTCTTTAGCAGCAATGATATTCTGACACCTGACAAATTACCATTTCGATTCTAGGACTATTCTGAGGCCTCATCTATATATACAGTTGCCCTAATGGATGTATCTGCTTGTATGTTCCTCAGAAATCTGACACTCTGAATTTCTAGAATATCAAACTTGATTTTTTTCCTCTTGCAGATTGTCTTCAGCCAACTTACTTTCTCATGTTTCTTTGTATACATTACTGTTTAAATAAGGCTCTAAGTCTTCCATCTCTGTCATACCCCAGTACAAATTGGTGACCAAGCTTTTTCAACAGTGTAGATAATATGTAAGTAGTAACTTAATTTTTTTTTAGAATTTTGCTTTTTAAATGATTTCAACATTATAGAAAAGTTAGAATAGTACAGAGAAGTCCCATATACCCTTTACCCTAATTCACCAGTCATTTACATTTTGTTTTTTCACTTTATTTGTCCTTCTCTCTTTCTTGCAGTATGTATTTGTGTAATTTTTTTCTCTGAAGCATTTGAGACTAAGTTGTATACAATACTCCATTTATCTCTAAATACTTTAGCATGAATTTTTTAAGAACAAGGACATCCTTTTTTAAAAATATATTTTATTGATTTTTTACAGAGAGGAAGGGAGAGGGATAGAGAGTCAGAAACATCCATGAGACAGAAACATCAATCAGCTGCCTCCTGCACACCCACTACTGAGAATGTGATTGCAACCAAGTTACATGCCCTTGACCGAATTGAACCTGGGACTCTTCAGTCCACAGGCCGACACTCTAGCCACTGAGCCAAACTGGTCAGGGCTCTTTTTTTACATATATATATTTTTACTGATTTCAAAGAGGAAGGGAGAGGGAGAGGGAGAGAGAGAAAAACATCAACGATGAGAGAGAATCATTGATCGGCTGCCTCCTCACATGCCACATTGGGGATCAAGCATGCAACTTGGGTATAGACCCTGACCCAGAATTGAACTATGAGCATCAACCTATATGACCTACTGGTTCAACCACTGAGCCATGCCAGCCAGTCAGGACATTCTTTTTTATAACTATAATACAGTAGTCCCAACTCAGAAAATATAACATTGATACATTACTATAATTTAATCCAGTCCATATTAAGATTTTGTCAGATGTTCTTATAATGACCTTAAACATGTTTTTTGAATGAATGGATGAACATATTTACAAGACATTTCTAATATATAATATTAGAAATACTCAGACTATAATGCAAACAAAGTAAATAGTAATATTTCAGGAAAATTTTTTGGTAGTTTTTAAAAAATTCCTGAATACTGTCAGAACAACTTCCTATGCATTTTACCTACGTGGCTTAGTTCTGATAGGCATATGTTGTGATAGTCATAGACTTCAGTATTGAATTAATCCAGGAATAAGGGCCACAGTTAAAATTCTAAGAAGAACCTATGCAGGAGTATGATGCTAGAGAACAATAACAAATAGGTATGGTATGAACATCTTTTCTATGTAAGTAAAATTCTGAAAGTTTCCTTTCTTTGCCCATTTCAGGATATGTGGAGGCTTAAATGGTTTAATGAGTATGGCTTTAAAATTCAGAATTCATAGTCTTAGTCCCTTTGCTCATATAATTATACCCTTTCTTTTTTTCTTTTTTTCCCAATATATTTTTATTGATTTTTTACAGAGAGGAAGGGAGAGGGATAGAGAGTTAGAAACATCGATGAGAGAGAAACATTGATCAGCTGCCTCCTGCACACCCCCTACTGGGGATGTGCCCCCAACCAAGGTACATGCCCTTGACCGGAATCGAACCTGGGACCCTTCAGTCCGCAGGCCGACGCTCTAGCCACTGAGCCAAACCGGTTAGGGCTGTACCCTTTCTTTAAGGCAAAGGGTCCTTACTTTGTTCTTTTAAACAGGTCATCCCTGGAAATTGCACATTATCCTCCAGAAGGCCCTGAGAGCCCAGGTCTCAGCCTGAGTTCTGGGCTGGCATTTTGGTCCCAGCATTAACATTCTAGTGGTGTGTCATTTCTCCAATAGCAGCTTATAAATTAACCAACTTGTACATGATTTTCTGTTGGGACAGAAAGGCAAATTAGATGGTGGAGAAAGAAGTGGAAAGGAAATTTATCCAGGTGAGTGAATGAAAACCAGACAGGTTATAGTTGTTCAGTAAGCATCAACATCTGAAATACTTTTAAGAAGGTTTTCTTACAGGTCCTACTCTTTATTTATTTATTTATTTATTTTTAATCCTCATTCCATTAATTTTTTTTAAATAAGTCTTTATTGTTCAGATTATTAGTTGTTCCTCTTTTTCCCCCCCATAGCTCCCCTCCACCCAGTTCCCACCCCATGCCATGTCCTTACCCGCCCCTCCCCACTTTGTCCTTCTCCATAGGTGTTCGATTTTTCTTCAGTCTCTTCCCGCACCCCCCACGCTCCCCCCGAGAATTGTCAGTCCATTCCCTTTCTATGCCCCTGATTCTATTTATTCACCTGTTTATTCTGTTCATCAGATTTTTATTCACTTGATTTTTAGATTCACTTGTTGATAGATATGTATTTGCTGTCACTTTGTTGTACATACTTTGTATCTGTACCTTTTTCTTCATCTTCCGCTTCTTAAAGGATACCTTTCAGCATTTCATATAATACTGGTTTGGTGGTGATTAACTCCTTTAGCTTTTTCTTATCTGTGAAGCTCTTTATCTGACCTTCAATTCTAAATGATAGCTTTGCTGGGTAGAGTAATCTTGGTTGTAGGTTTTTGTGATTCATCACTTTAAACATTTGTTGCCACTCCCTTCTGGCCTGCATAGTTTCTGTTGAGAAATCAGCTGACAGTCATATGGGTACTCCCTTGTAGGTAACTGACTGTCTTTCTCTTGCTGCTTTTAAGATTCTCTCTTTGTCTTTTGCTCTTGGCATTTTAATTATGATGTGTCTTGGTGTGGTCCTCTTTGGCTTCCTTTTGTTTTAGATTCTCTATATCCAGTAGTTTGCTTTCCTCCATTTCTGTCATTTGTGACATGTTTCTTTGACTCTGCATTTTGGCTGCTTTCCTGTGTTGATAGAGTGGCTTTGTGTGCTAGGTGTCCTATAGGGCCCAGTGGCTCAGCCTCCCTAATTACCCGAGGCAGACATTCTTAGTGCACCCCTTTGTGGACTGTGTGCACAGTCTTGTTGTAGTTAAGCCTTGATTGCTGTTGGTATCACTGGGAGGAATTGACCTCCAGACCAATTGGCTGTGAGGACCAGTTGTGTCTACAATTAGAGAACTGCTGTGCTGGAAACACCCTTATGGGGCAGGACTTGCTTCAGTGGGGCTTTATTGCTCACTGAGTCTGCCCCCTGAGTGTGTCTCTTATGGATCTGAAGAGTTGTAATCTGGTGTGTGGTCTCACTGTGACCACTGGGTACATTGGCTCTTGGATCTCCAAGGAGGTGCAAGGTCAGCCACTGCCTGAGGCCAACCAGTAGGACCTATAGAGAGATCTGCAGATTCCTCCTCTTTGTTTGGGGTTTGGAGGTGCCCAGATGAGGCACAGCTGTGAAGCAATGCAGGCTGCTGACAGCCTTAGGCCTCCTTTTGGAAGCTCTAGGGTTCTTTGACCCAGCTGCAGTTTGTTCGGTTTTAGATTGCCAAAGGCCAGGCCATTCATATGCAAAAGCCCTGCTCACAGCTTGGGTCGGGTTGTAAATTGGGTCGTGCGGGGGTCTCAGGGCGGTGCAAACAGCAATGGTTGCCCATCGGCCCTGCCCCAGATAGGTCCCGCAGCCCCAGGCAGGAACAATGAATTCTGCAAGCACCTCTCAGAGAGAGCCTGTTTGCACACCTCCGTAATTCCGCTCTTTCACACCTCTGCACCTCCTACCAGTCTAGATGTGCTTTTCTCTTTCCGTCTAGTTGTCGAACTTCCACTCAGCCAGCCTTCCCTTGGTTCTGGATGATATCTGTTTTGTCTTTTAGTTATAGTTTTGATGTGGTTGTGCAAGGCAGCAAGTTCAGGTGTTTACCTATGCCACCATCTTGGTTCCTCCTCTGGTCCAACTTTTGAAGTATCACTAGGTATGAATTCTTTAAATACTTTAATATTTCTAGTCATCGTTTTTTCTTTAGATTCTAGGCAACCAGTTTCCCCTATTATCTTTAATCTGAATGTCCAGACTTTTACTTACACTGCCTCTGTGTAATTGTTCTCTCTTTCATTGATTCTCTGAGTCTTATATCCCCCAATTTGTATAGACTCCTTCCCTTATGCATTGTCTTTTATAGGTTTTGAGTCTTTACATATTGTCTGACATTTAGGTTCCTTTTTATTACTGACCACTTTCTCGCATTCTTTCAGTGGTTAAATGGTTCAGAATTTTATTTTACATCTGCTCATACTTCTTATTGTCTTATCCACTGTGCTGGGTTCGAAAGCCTGAGTGAGGGCGGCGAAAGGATGAAGAAATGACAGAGAATAAGCTGGATCTAGGTGGATCTTCCTGTGCCTGGCTGAGGCCACAGAGAGAGATCCAGAGGCAAGCTGAGCCTTTATTTTATAGCCAGAGGTAAACAAGGTAGTGGTCACCATAGTTACAATGTTCGTGTGAATTTCACTTGTTTTGGTAGCACTTGCACCTACCACAGCCCATTAGCTACCTAGGAAGGATGTAGGGAGCGTCATATTGTCAAGCCTAATTATGCTAACAAAACTGTTCCCTCTAAGCTGGGACTTGTTTGTGGCTTTGCCAACAGGTCAGTCCAAGGCTTAGCCCTATAGTGGCGCCCTACAATCCACCTCCCCCATTTTACATCAACAGACTGCTTTCCTCCCTTCCCCTCTCATATACCTCTTTCAGAAGTTGTTGCCTAAGAAGTCAGTTCTGTCTTTCTGGAGGGAGGGAGGGAGGGCATGTGTATATTTTTTAATATAATACATGAATGTAAAACATTTTTGAACATTAAGGTAAATGAAAAAATTCTCTTCTAACCTCTGAGCTTTGATCCTAACACTTTTTCAAAGATGCAGTCAGTTCCACGTTTTTATTTATTTTAAAAAATGATTTGAGAGAGAGAGAGAGAAAAAACATCGATGTGAGACATTGATATTTTTCCTCCTGCCATGGTCCCAACCTTGGATTGAACCTGAAGTCTGGGTATGTGCCCTAACCAAGAATCAAACCCACCAGCCTTTGATGAATAGGACGATGCTCCAACCAAACCACGTTGGCCAGCACAACGTGCAGTCACTTATAAGAGTTTCACATGTATTTTTCTTGAGGTAGTGTATGAATAATCCAGCATATATTATGTATCTGTTCTGCAAATATGAATATACTAGAGCCCTGAATTTCGTGCACTCAGGGGGTCCCTCAGCCTAGGCTGTGCCCTCTCACAGTCCGGAAGCCTTTGAGGGATGTCCAACTGACTGCATAGGCCCGCTCCTCACGGGGCCTCTAGTTCATAAATAATGATAATAATATAATGCTAACTTTTATTGAGTGCTTACCGGTGCCAGCCACAGTTCTAAGCACTTTATATGGTAACTCTTTTAAATGATGATTGTTTTGTATTCCATTTTAGAAGAAACCTGAGAAGATGATGAGCAGATAGAGGGGCAACAAGACTTGGAAATCAAGTTGCATCCATCTTCAGTAAAGTACAGACTGAGGAAAAAAGCAGTGAATGTAAGAAAATTGGAAAAATACTTCTTCTGATCTCAGACCTTTTATCTTTTAAGGGAACATTCTTTTTAACTTACCTAGAAAAAATTTGAAACACAAGACTTAATAGTGAGGGACATTGTGTAGGAATAAATCATCAATTTTATTGATTTAAAAATTTTGCCACACTTTCTCCTTATGGTAATAACCCTCTTTAAATGTAAATCAGTATGGAAATGCCTTCAGTTAAAATAGTTTGAACCCTATCAAATACCAGAACATTCATACTGGATTCATACCTTATGAAATAATTGAATGTGGGAAAACTTTCACTGGTGTCACACCTTATGAAATGAATGAAGTCAGGCTGGAGAAAAACCCTGCGCTTCTAAGGAATATTGAAAAGCCTTTAGCTAGATGACATTTCATTGAGCAGAAAAAAATTCATACTGAAGAGAAACCACTGAATATAACAATTAACTGAGTATTAGAATATTTATACTTTGAGAGAAAGCTTTGAATTCAGTAAGATAAAGTTTTATCTTAAATCTATCCCTTACTTTACATTCGAAAGGTCATACACAGAGAAGCTCTACTAATGTAAGAAATGTGGAAATACCTTCAGCCAAAAGTAAACCCTCATTCATCAAAAAATTCATACTGGAGAGAGAATTTGTGAATGTTGGAAAGCTTCCTTTCAGATGTCACACCACAGTCAGCAGAGAATCTGTAGTGGGGAAAACCCCTTTGCTTGTAAGGTATGTGGGAAAGTCTTCAGCCACAAATCAAATCTCACTGAGCATGAGCATTTTCATAATAAAGAGAAACCTTTTGAATGTAATGAATGTGGAAAAGCCTTCAGCCAAAAGCAGTATGTCATTAAACATCAGAACACCCATACTGGAGAGAAGCTTTTTGAATGTAATGAATGTGGAAAATCGTTCAGCCAGAAGGAAAACCTTCTTACCCATCAGAAAATTCACACTGGAGAGAAGCCTTTTGAGTGTAAAGATTGTGGGAAAGCTTTCATTCAGAAGTCAAACCTCATCAGACACCAGAGAACTCACACAGGAGAGAAGCCCTTTGTATGTAAGGAGTGTGGCAAAACCTTCAGTGGCAAATCAAACCTTACTGAGCATGAGAAAATTCATATTGGAGAGAAACCCTTTAAATGCAGTGAATGTGGAACAGCTTTTGGCCAAAAGAAGTACCTCATAAAACATCAAAACATTCACACTGGAGAAAAACCCTATGAATGTAATGAATGTGGAAAAGCCTTCTCTCAACGAACATCACTTATTGTACATGTGAGAATTCATTCAGGTGATAAGCCTTATGAATGCAATGTATGTGGGAAAGCTTTCTCTCAAAGTTCATCTCTTACCGTGCATGCGAGAAGCCACACAGGTGAGAAGCCCTATGGATGTAATGAATGTGGGAAAGCTTTCTCTCAATTCTCAACCCTTGCTCTGCATTTGAGAATTCACACAGGTAAGAAACCTTATCAATGTAGTGAATGTGGAAAAGCTTTCAGCCAGAAGTCACACCATATTAGACACCAGAAAATTCATACTCATTGAAAACTCTAAATATCTTGAAAATTGGAAAGCAATTCGATGGAGTTTACACCTATGGCAAGCACATCAGAAGTAATCGTTCTTAAGGAAAGGGTCAGAAATGAGGGAAGCAAAAGCTAAAAACTTATGGGATACCAGAGAATTCATACTGAAGAGAAAGACATAAAAATCCTATGCCCAACAAAATCCCACAGTAAAAGTAATGCTGAAACTTCAGACACATTTCCACTAAAATTGGGAATGGGAAACATGCTTATCATTACTGTCTATCTGCCTAGATCTGGAGATCTTCACCATTGTAATAAGAACAGTAAGTTGTATGTGTTAGAAAGGCAAATACTTTTATGGTATTGTTTTAGCAGAACAGAAGAGATTTTGGAATACCTATGCATTTATTAGAATTTAGAATTGGAGAAGAAAATGGGACTGTTTAAAAAATGATTTGGAGGTGATTTGTTCTCCAAGGAAAAAAAGATCATGAACTATGCATAAAGGTAAAATCCATGGGGATTAAAAACAGGAATATGGCTCAGCAGATGTTGCTCAGTGGTTGAGCCTCAACCCATGAACCAAGAGGTCAATAATTCCATTCCCACTCAGGGCACATGCCTGGGTTGTGGGCACGATCCCCAGTAGGGGGTGTGCAGGAGGCAGTCAATTTTGATGTTTCCCTCTCTTGAAATCAATAAAAACACATTAAAAAAAAAAAAAACAGGAATATTGAAAAACTGTGTAGTGAAATGGTTATGACCCTGGGAGTAGGGAAACATCCCTTATAATGAATTAAAAATATTCCGCTTTTCTACTCTTGAGTTTGTATGCTCAGGAAATATATACCAGGCTATTTACTGTGGTATGATTTGTAGTAGCCATAAGTTGGAAACAAATGCCCATCAGTAATAAAGTAGAAAGTACTTATGATGGGATATGTATCTGTAAAATGTAACAAATGAAATCTATATGTGTTACAGAGAATGGTATAAAAAATGTTGAGGAAAATGAAGCCGCAGAATGACAATTCTGATACCATGACATTTTTGTAAATTTGAATTAAAACTTCCCTTATAAAATTCAGTACTATATATTGGTAATAGATACATATATGTATTTATGTATGTATGTTTTTTAAATGTTTTTGAAATGGATTGCAAGGATAGAGACCAAACTCTTGATAGGGGCTGCCTGTGAAGAGTTGAAAAAGGACGGGGATGAGTGTGGGAGGGTTGGAGTGAGGAATTGGTTAAAGAGGACTTCATTTTTTATATGTAAACATCTACTTCTCTAAAAAACAGAAGAGACTGCTAGTAAATACATATATAAAAATACTGAGTAGTTCTGGATTGTGTTATATGGATATCGTGTCTTTTTTTTTGTACTTTTCTGTATTTTTCAAGTTTCTCAAAATTAATCATGAGGGTGAGGACGGGATCACTGTACCTATAGAAATCATGTTCCAATGGATCTATTCCCAATCAAATGCTAAGCTTTTTATAGAAAATATTTCTAAAATTTTATCAATGATGAGTAGACGGACTTGTTCTCTATGTAGTATGAAATTATCTATTTTATTAAAATTAAGAATGATAGCATAATCCAAATCTGTTTAATTTATTTTTACATGTCAGTGTATACTGTGTGTTTGTCTACTCATTTTACAACATATCATTTGAGCTTAAAAATGTTGATAACTTGTAAAGTTTACACAGCCTTTGTGTAACTAGTCTTTTTAGATAAACTTTCTGGAATCTCAAATTTCCTATCCTATAAATTACCTTGGGAACAGTGTGTGCATTAAAAATAAGTTTGTGATTGTTTTCTTTTCAAAAGAAAATCATTTAACTGCCCACAGCTTCCATAGTTTGAGTTAAATGCTAACACCTGGATCTCAATTATAACCTGCAGATTTTCATTCCTCCCAGTACTTTGACAAATACACCCTTTTGGGTCTATCT